CAAATGAGGCGAAACAAAAAAGTTTGAAACGTCCAAAATACATAAACAAAACTGTGACAAACAACCAACATGGATTCTAATGTTTCTGTGTCCAAAAACTATGAGTCACTCAGCAGAGATGAGAAACACAGGCAAAGGAGCCAGTTACTTCTGTAATAAATAAATAAATATGTGCAAACTTGCTTTTGAATTTTTAAATTGCCAGCCATCCAACAATATTACAACAGAATCTGGTTCACTTTTTGTTGTCCAAAAGGGAGTTATGAAGCTCATTTCAATTTACTGAGAGATTAATTGATTTATTTCTTTTTGATCATATCATTAACTGTACATTATATAAAACTCATAGTATCAGGCAAGTTGTCTTAATGTTTGGGGATTTATATGACTACGAATAGTACTGTGGTATTTGATAATTACAAAGTCATAACACATATTTGGGAACAAGGGTGACGTATTAATCAGTTAATAATTACCGATCACCTTTCACAATGGCTGAACATGCAGTGAGGGGAACAGTGGAATGGTCCAGTTAAAGTTCAGACCATCCAATCTGACTGAATTTACAATAATCTTTGACCGAAACAAAGAAGGATGCAAAATATCAGCGCCTGTGGGAAACTGATAAATGTAAAAGACGTTCAAAAGCACAGAGTCAGGGAGAATGGAAAAAAAATGCATCCCATGTTTTTAATATGCTTCAAAATAAAATCATGTGTTTTTTTTTTTTTAAATTTTCATTTCACAGTCATTTGCTACTTTGTGCTGCACCGTCGGAGAAAATCCTGGTGAAACACCTGGACGTTCTGCTTGTAACCAGATAAAAGCGTGGAAGAGACCAGGAGGCGTGAACTGTTCAGACGTCACTAGGACTGAATCAGACGGATGAAATGTCCCCCCACAAAAAAAAAATAAAAATGTAAAAGAACTGGAGCGTGGAGTGAAAAATACTCCACAAGCTGGAAGCTTCAACTCACCAGACTCTCAAAGCTCCATTAGCCGACATTAGCGCGGCAGAGACAAAAGACAAGCAAACTCTCTCAAGAGAGCGGGGTCTGGGGGAGGAGGGGGCTGCACTGTTGGTTTTGGATTCATAAATCATCATTAGTTCAGTTTTTCAGTGTGACGCAAAGAAAGGAACCCAAACATGATGTTTAAACATTCGGATACAGCTTTTTTTTTTCCATCACTGTTAAGTATGGAGGAGCTTAGAATCCAGGATTCAATGCCCACATTGTCCTTCAAATGATTCATCAAGTGACCACAGCAGAGTGAGGCCTTTTCTTTGTGTGGCTGTTTTAACATCACATTATCAGCAAAGGTTTTGTCATGGAGGGACAAAGACTTTTTTTTTTTTTCCACCGCTGCCTATTTCATAGTAATAAATACTCCACAAGCTTAAATGGCAGCATGGACAAAAGGCTAAGATGCTAATTTATCTTCTCCATATGATCCTGATGCAAATGAGGGGAATGAAAGCAAGCAATCAATTCCCTAATTGGGTTGGGGCCACTGCAGCCTGTTAAGGGCTCCAGATTAAACGGGAGGTCAATCTCTCATTGTGACAGATACCATATTCGTTTCACGACGCAACAAAAGGAATCAGACAAGAGTTGTGAGTGATCAAGCTGATGAGAGCGACAAAAATAGACCAGCAGGGGGAAAAAAAACATTCAAAAATTACAGTTACATGAAAGTGTTTCACTGTAAAGATGGTTTCGTTGCAACCTGAAGTGTGAAATAAACTTCAGCGGGGTTTGAAAACAAAAATATGCGTGTAGGTTTATGTCTGGGTGAACGATGTGTGGGCCCAGTTGATTCTATTTTTTCTTTTTTGGGGGGGATTTTATTGTAATCCAGTCCAGATAATCTTTGGGAACTGCTGGATTAAGAGAAGAACAAACTGGAAAGAAAGGGATTCAAACCGCTCTGACCCGGTGAACTCGGGTCCGCCTACAAACCTCGCACTTCGGTTTGAACGCCAAGAGGGCCCGAGTTCACCTCACTCCAAAAAGCAGGAAGCAGACTATAACGCCGGGCATTCTGGGAAATACAACCAAAACAAATTCCAAGTGACTCGCACTTAAGCGGGAGAAATGGCTCATTGCCTTTTGATAGAGAAACCCTGCAACTGCTCAAATCTGACGCTACTCCATTTTTGTTTCCATTTTGTTAAGAGGGAAGTTGCACTCAGCGTTTCCTGCAGTAGCTCTTGCTGCAGCGCCACCACAGGCCAGGAGGAAAACAGGTTTTTCAAAACGTTTAAAGCCACAGCGGGGCGTTTTAAACATAACTTAGTCCATATCATCAGATTTTAATTACAACGTTCGCTCCTTCTTGGAATATTAAAGAGTTGAAGCTACACACTGAACAATAAAAGAATCAACAACGGTGAAATAACCCTGGCTTTTCATGGGACTCTGTCGCTTGTGAAAAAAACAGACTTTTTGCGAGAGCCTATTGAAAAATACTTGGAGACTAATATTTCAGGTCCGAGTGCGTTTCTCCAAAATCCACAGACTGGTGTTTGTGTTATCATTCCTTCAAAGAGGACAAGCAAACAGCAGCAGGCCTGTTGGGAAGGTCATGAGGTTCCCAACAGGCCTGCTGCGAGAGCAGAACCTTTACTCTTTACCTTCCCTAAGAAACACAGCGACTTTATTTACCAACAGAAGAGAGCAGGAAATTACAATAATAATCAGATCAGCTATCCCTGAACTAAAAGCTGCATTGAATTACTGCATCTGAAATGTTCTCCTGAGGGGGAGTGTGGAGGATTTTTGCTGCAGAGCCATATATCACAAAGCGGAGAGTGGGAGAGGAGGCTGTCATGTGTGCTGGTTCAGCTCCGTTACGACGTTCCCCTTTGCTCTCTTCGGGAGGGGAAAATCAGTTAAAAGCCCTCCAAACCAAACAGCCTTTTAACAAGAAGCACTTAATTTTCTCTGTTTGCTTTAGTTCAGAGGGTTGGGCTTCGTCCAGGGAACTGGCATGTTGACTCCAGCCGCGCCGTGAACCTTGACCTCTCGCTCGCGTTCGGGCGGCTCACTCACGGCGGGCAAAGCGGCGAGCGCAGACAGGAGTAAACAGGGATAAATTCTGAAACATTTTAACCGCATCAATCCAACGTGAAGGTGACGCCTTCGGGTTCAGCGGGAGTTCAAGGTATTAGTGTCGCGGGCCTTTCATGAGCTCAGATCAAAAGGGCTTTGTAAGGTATGCCAATTAATGCACATGAAAACAGCTGGTCTGCATGAAAGGTCAAGGAGAAGCATTTTTCACAGCGAAGCAACTCGAACCTTGTTCTTTAAACCGAGCCAGCCCTGGTTTGAGTAAGAAATAGATCTTTCTGGCACAGATTTGGGTCCCAAAAAGGCACCCACAAAAAACATCGCCAAACAGTGTGTGTGCACCGACAAATCGGACCAGATTTTGGGAGACTGGCCATCTTCGATCTTCCCCACCGATCTCATTTATCGTTCACAAAGGTCTGAAAATCAGCAATTCTTGCAGACAGAAGAAGAAAAAAAGGTATCTGGCCAAAAACTGTAATTGGTTCACTGCTATGTGACACTGGTCCCAACTGACACAGGTTGTGGTAGTTTTTGCCAAAAGTGATTCTGGCAAAAAAGAAAAATCTTGGGCCATTATTAAAATCGGAAAGAAATATGGAAAAAAAATCCTGTTGGCTGTTGCAAAAGACATGAGGTTCACCTTCTAAGACAACCATGTAGCATGCGCTAACGTTTTTAATTTTCACCTGTTAGCATGGCCCCGTCAAAGTTCAAAGCTAAACAAATTGAGAAACATTTAAAAACATGATTCTGATTGAAAATCGTGAGCTTAAGGTGATTCCACAAAGTGTCAATTTATGTCAATTGAGGGCTGAATTTAAATGCAAGCCACACTTTTCAGATGCTCCTTTTTGCAATACTGATCTAACAAAGAATTCAAACATTTATAGTGAGGGGTCATAAATATTTTTTTGCAAGACTTTGTACCCACCCACCCCACAGCCTTGTATTAAATCATAAACCAGCCTCGTTTATTTGTTCCCACATCAAACACTTGTTTTTATCCAGTGGTCCCAAAGACAACTTTAATTCAAACGATGAACAAATGGGGCTTCTGCAAGGAGTAGCCTTCCAAAATATCACCCCAAATCAACAAACGTGACTTACAGCTACAGCAACTGAGATGTAAGAAAGGACGAATCAAGAGCTGAACACATTCTGACACAAAATAATTTTGAAAATGGAACAAACCTTCCATTTTTCTGTTTGGCATCAACATTCCCAGCCTACCACAGACGAAGAATCAAATTAAAACAAACACTCCAAAACTCTGGGAACAGGAAAACTTTAATGGTCATAAACTAAACCATTGATGGTCTGCGCGCACACACACGTCCAAATGCACACACACACACACACAGACAGACCCAAAACCCAGAAACATAAATTAAGAAAAATAGGCATAAAATGAAACAACTATGCATAAAAATGTCCAAGAATCCCAGCCTTAAAAATGAAAGCAAATAGGTCCAACCCCCCTACAAGGGTTAAAATATAACACCGCCACCTAGTGGTGGCTTAGAAATCAACCGGAGAAATCTCTTCAACAGCATTTTAAAACGGCAAAACTTGTTTTCCACACATTCCCCGACCGTCAAATAAGCATCCAACCGAGAGGCATGTTTTAAGTACAGTTATAAAAAGGCACATTCATTTTATGACAGTACAGTATATGTTTTGTAGTTATACACGTGTTCAGACGCATGCAAAGGACAGGGAAACTTTTCATAGTTTCTTAAGCTCTTTTTTAGTGTTTTTATCCTCTTGAATCAAAGACCCTGCGCGAAAGCTCTACATGTTTTTTTTTTAACTGATTTTTAATTCCCTGCGTATGATGCGAGACCCAGCCTGCTGGTGAACTTGTCTCGGTCGATGTTCTTGTGCTCTGGGATGTGTCTGAAGGTGCAATCATCCCTCGTGCAGCCCGTCGTCCGCCAGAAAAAGCACTCCTTCTTGTACGTACTGTTTAAAAAAAATTAAAAATCTCTCTCAACTTCGACCTATACATTAATAAGGGTAGAGCTTTTTCTGCCCCTTGAAGAAAGAGTGCGGTGTTCTTACCTAAGCCGTTGGTAGGACTCTGTCTCTCCAGTGTTGCCCTTAAAGGGATACCGAACAGTCAACGGAGCGCCGTCCAATATCATTCCCTGAAAAGGAAACAAAAACGGATCTCGAAGGTCATCTGTCTCTTGGGGTGAGTTTTCACCCACATTTAAGGGTGCTTCAACACCTGATAGTCCCGGAGACTGTCAGCTTTCACGCTAACGAATCAAACCCTTTGACAAACCTGTTCCCCTCCTCGCCTGTGGCGGCGCTGCACCAAGAACCAGCGAAGGAAACGACGCGCACACCTCAAAAGTTGGAGTGCCATCAAGTTTTAGCGGTTATAAGATTTCACTTTTGTCTTTCGTAAAAGACTCCTGCTAGCACCACACACAGGTATTTGTTTTGGTTGCATTTACCCAGAATGCCCTGCGCTATAGCTGTCTTCTTTTGGAGCCGTATCCGGTCCGCCTCCATCCATATGTATGTGGATTTGAATGGTGCCAGAATTCATTTCAACTGAACTGAGGTTCAAAGGCAGACCAGAGTTCGTATCAGAGTTTTGATTCAAACCAGACCTTCCAGACAAACAAACCGGAGTTAAAGTTGGACTGAAGCAGGCCTGGTGTGGCGCATCCTTAAATGTCCTCCTAAACAAATATGGCTAGGGACTGCTGTGTACATAACGTAAAGAATGAGGTTTTAACATGACCAAATGTTCACAAGTTTGATGCTAATACACCTAGCATCCTAAGTGTTCTGCACACTTTTTTATTATCATCATTTGTCAGGCTAGAAAACTGCAAATTTTGGGTCACTTGTCACCTCAAGATTTTATGGCCTTGAGGTGACAAGTTGTAAAAACTGACTTTTGCTCTTCTCAAAAGAACCAAACACAAATTTGTCACTTAAATGTTTTTCTAAATGAAGAAAGGATCACAAATTCAAACACACTTGAATTAGATGGGGAGTCATCTTATAAGAATTATAAAATGCGATGCGTTTCGGGGCGTTTTCTTCCTGGCTGAACCCAGTGGACAAGATACAGGAATCTGATGACTTGTGGTAAATAACTTTTCAAAGGCAGCTCTTCCCACAGGAGCAGATTCAAACAGAAAACGCCTCGTCTAACAAAAACAAATGCAATCGGTGCCTCTGTGTATTAGCTCAGCTGCAGGGTGAAGGCACCGGCTCTACTGAAAGAGAACAAAAAGCAATAAGAAGAATCCATAAGGTGGGATATTCAGAAAATAAAATGAAAACACTATTTTGAACTTTTTTTAAAATAATGAATTAATTAAAGTAGTGAACCTACAGACATCTCTTATCCTTTAAAAAGCAAAAGTAAATTAGCAGAAAATCTTCAAAAATTGTTTAACACCAAAAAGAAAATGTGCAAGTTAAAGGGGAAAAAACATTTTCTTTCTTATTCAGAACTAAGGCAAACTTTCATTATTCTTCCACAGGCTCTTTGTGGAATAATAACAAATAGTCAAAGTTCAATTTGACCATGTCAGCTCCATGTTTCACCATGACGACATGGAGTAAACGGATACGTACGTCGATACACTGGATGGCTCTCTCACAGTCCTCCCTTCGAGTGTAGTTCACAAACGCACACTGCTGCTCCAGCAGCATCTTGATGCTGTAAATCGTCCCCACTCTGCAAGAAGCAAACACCGACGACGCATCAACAACACGCAAGCTTAAATTGGTGCAAATTGTTTTTCTAGGACAATAAAGAAAAAAAGAAAAGGTATAGTTTAACCTCCATTTTGGTTTATTTCGAAAAGAAGATTTCAGATTTTTACATTTAAAGATTGGTTTAAGTAAACTCAGGATTTCATGCGGAGGGGGTCAGTGTCATTTTACAGAAGTTTATTCTGCATCAACAGAGTAAACAGTCAGAGATTCAGAGTGATGGAGGAGTCATGTCTGTCACAATAAATCAATCAACAAGCTCAGTAATTTTCATTTGCATAATTTAATAGTTTATATTTTCTCTTTCTACTAAAACCTGGACAACTAAAGCATTGATCACGTCAGAGATTTCATAATTCATTTTATGCGATGTTTCTGTTTTTTATTTTATTTTAGATACTTAAACTATTTTCCAGGTCCACTGTTAAATCTCCATTTGAATTTAAAGTTTATTGATCTCTTAGGATATGTTCTTACATTATTACATCGTTATCGTTATAATATTGGAAAACGGTCTCCAAACAACAACATTGCCGTTTACCGCAATAACTTCTGGTCACAGGCCTGTAAGTCAGAACTCACCTGCTGAAAAGCTGATGGAGTTTTGGATAAGTCACGGTAGGACCCAGGGTTCCCACCCAAACCGAAAACAGCTCACTTGGAGAGAAACACATGCTTATTCATCTTAAATCAAACGCGCAGATCGCTGCTCATTTCTGAAACACAGAACTGAAAACAGACAAAAAGGGACAAAGAGAAGCCAACGTCTCAACCGTGATCGACCGCTTACGGTTTGGCTGAACCCCTGGAGCGAGGAGTCGGCGACTGGGATTTGGATCTGATTTGGCCCAGACAGTCGGTATCTTTGACCTGCTGCGTTCGTGGACGGGCTGTTTGCAGGACGGTCCACTCTCCGTCATCGTCGTCCTCCTCCTCCTCCTCTTCGTCCTCATCGTTGTCGTCCTGATGCGACGTCTGTTTGAATTTGTCCCAGATGGCTCGAGCCCCTGAAGGAGGAGCAGAGCGGACGGCGTGGAGCAGATGTAACATTCAGAGAGACCTGCTCTGTGTTTTTCGGAAACGTCACCTCCAGGGTCTTTGTTTCTGTTCCTGGCAAACAGAGTTTCCACGGCTTCCTCGAGGGTCGGGTGAGCTTTGAGGGCCTCGGTGCTTTGCGCCCAGGAGAAACCCATTTCCTGAGGTAACGAAAGAACACACAGCTTCCTGAATGTGACTCACTGTGGACACACCAGCTGCATTTCCACAGGCCGCATAATAGCGCAACTTGACGTCTCGAAAATACATTTTGAAAACGTTTCAGTGCTAGAATGAGGTGGGTTTTGTCGTTCATGTTAAAATTTTGGTATTTCACAAACCTGTGATGGAAACATTTCTTCACTTCATTCTAGTTAGACGATCAACAGTCGGACGTGTCCACTGGCGCCAAAAAGGCAACGACAGGAAGTAGTTGGAGTGTCATGTTTTTTTAATGACGTCTTGTGTGAATAAAATTATTTCCGTGTGATTTTTATTAAACGGTAAAAGTAAATGCAAAATATAGCTTTTTTTCAACACAAGCTGAATATCAAAGTGTTGCGGACATTTGTAACAAGAAGGCAGCTATGCAGAACTTTTATATCTACTAAACTTACTAAAAGCACCTTCTACTGCACTGAGCAGGACTCTCTGCACCTCCGAAGATAGACGTTTTGGGCAATTCTTTAGCAAAATATTTCAAACTCCAGAAATTAAGTTTTGCCTAAATTTAGGTGGATTTAGGTCTGAGGGTTCCTGCAAATTTTCCACACTTTTGTCCAACAGGTGCTAACACTGACTTCTGATTCTTTTTTTTTTTTTTTTTACCTGTGGTACATAGTCATTTCTGTATTATTCTCAGACTTGTAAAAAAAATAAAATAAAATAACCTTAACTGGTTTGAATACAGCATACAAACATCAACACCCACCATAAGATGCAACGTCTGCGTTCGTTTCAGCTCCTGCGCAGCTTCAACACTTGAGCTTTCCAGAGTCAACACGTCCTTGTAGATCAGGGAGGCTTCATAGTACCTCTGAAGGAGTCACAACAAAAATCAAGAATAAAGTGACCTTTATTCTAGTAACTGATTATTCTAATTTTCTGATGATTAATTGAAGAAAAGATGAATTGGGACATTCTACAAATGATTCATATAAAATACAGTAAAAGATGCAACTAAACAAAATGAATTAAATTCCAGGACAGCATCTGGAAAACATCTTTGTAAATATGTTTCCAACTTGAGGAATTTTAGGTAAAACATATTTACAAAGATCTTTTCCTCTGACATGCAAATGTAGAAATATATTTTGCATAGTTTTGAGTGCATTGTTTTTTTTTAGTGAATCGCCCATTTTCTCAATCTGTATACTCTAGTCACGATTAATCAGTTGGTTAAATTAGTTGGTGATTATTTCAACTAATTGATTGATCACAATCGTTTCAATCAACGCAAACAAAAAATGGGAATTACTGTCAAGTAACTTGACTTACAAGGAATATATACTGTAATGGAATAAAGCAAGAGATGTGACCAAATGCTAGCAGACACGTTTTGTTTTACCTTGAGGCCGCAGAGGGCTTTCCCTTTCCGGAACAAACCCTTGATCCATTTGGGCTGCATGGAGAGCGCCAGGTCGGCGTCCCTCAGGGCATTTTCATACTGTTCAAGCCTTTCGTAGCACAGAGAGCGATTTCCAAACAACCTGAAACAGGCAGAGGGTAAGTTAAAGCTCATTTTACGTCCGGTGATCCTGTGATTCTCTTGGAAAAAAAAGAAGAAAAAAAAAAAAGCCGAATTCAAGCTCATGTTCCTACTTGAATTCCTTTGGGTTATATTTAATGGCGTCCGTAAAACACGACACTGCCATGTCGTACTGTCCGGACGCAGCCAAGCGGTTCCCCATACCTGCAGCGAAGCAGAGGTCAGGTCAGGCGTTTCGTTTTTTTTAATTTTGTGGAAAAATTTCAATGAAGAGATTTAAAACGAGGAAAATTCACTTACTGGCCAGCTCTACACTTCTTTTCGCTAGCTCCTCAGTCAAGGGACCAAGCAGTTTCTGTTGAAACAGGAGCATAAATGATCCACAGGCCTCATCACAATGGATCCTGTCAAATAAATAGATCATTTAACGGTTCAGAAAAATTGTATTTTTGTGTATTAAACCTCGTTATTGGTTTCAGGTTCGCTTTTCATCTGAACTTCAGGTTTCTCGGCAACATGGAGGTTTTTGTCCTCCGGCTGCTGAACCTCAACGACTTTGCTTTTTTCCTTCTTCTTCTCTTTTTTAGACTTCAAGTTACTCTTCTCCTCAGGGACCAATTTAGTCGATGCAGCATTTAAATTTTTTAAATTCAAGTCCTGCGAAGAAGAGTACAGTGCAGTCATATTTTGCAGACTGTCAGAGTTTATCATCGCAGATGTTTGCCTTAATAACAAAAGAAGCTTTTACAAACATTTTGTTGCTTATCTTCTGTAGCATTTATTTTCACAATATCTTTTCCAGCAAGCTCAATACATCCGCCGTCCTTGGATGCCGTCTGGGATTGGTCGGATTCAGGAGGCTGGTTTTCTTCTGAATTATCATCAATTGTATGAGTTGGTTCCTCATTCTCTATAGATTCTTCCTCGTTGTTCTCCTGAAATTAAATCGCCAATCAGTGAGCTATTTCTGGTTGGAACTGCATTTTTCTAGAACATGCAGGATAAAGTCTAATAAATTAGACCTTCATCAAAAACTTATTTCAGTAATTTGATTCAACAAGGAAGTCATTGCACACAGAGTGACATATTTTCATTCTGTGTGCAGTTGCTTCAGTTCATTTTAATTTACCTGGTTTCCAGCTGACCTGAAGTTCAGTCACTTAGAAAATTTAAATATAAGTAAAGACTAATAAAATGCCTTAAATAATAAACACCTGACTAGATAGTTGTGGAGCAAACTGTCACCGGCACTCCATAAGATGAGGATAATCCGCCAAAGATCATTTACAAGAAACTGGGCGCTCACAGAACGATGCGTTCAAACATAAAGTTCACTGAAAGGAAGATGCGGTAGCAAAAAGTGCACCGACTGCAGGATTGTGAAAAAAACCCCCAAAGAGATTGAGGAGGCATGGAGTCTGTGCTTAACAGGGTTTCTGCAAGTTTCATGAACTCATATTTAAGACTTTTTAAGACCACAATGAATGGAATTTAAGACCTTTTTTTCAGACATGTTCAAATTTGCACTCACCCATAATGGAAATACATTTTTTTAGAGCTAGCCTAGCAAGCTTGTGTTAGCAGTGAGGTAGCAGCAGCTAATTAACATCTATCTAGCCATAGAATGGTTTTAAAGCAACTTCATTCAGGCAAAAGGAGCAATTTTGTACTAAAAGTACTTTATTGATTTTATGCAAAGGTGGGCATTAACTAGCTACATTTACAAAGCTACATTTTGAAAAATATGCACTTATGGGATTGACTTGAGTACCATTTCTGACTTCTTTGACTGGTTAGCTGCATGAAGAATAAGGATGATTTTGGTCAAAAAGACACAATTTGCATCAAAGTGAGACCTCTTCTTTATACACAAGCTTCATTGTTCTCATATTATTTTCTATCTGTTGATGTCAGTGAACTTTAGACATTGTATTTGGAACAACTTTGGGCTGTTTTGACATGAACACATGTCAGGACAGTGTCCATGTCAGTTATCATATCACAAGATATGATAACATAGAAGTTATGAATCATATCAAAATGCTTCCTCTGGATAAGTCAGTCAGATTGTAAATATATCATCTGTATTAGTACTGAAATACAACACTTTGCACACAACTGTTCATGTATAAAAATATATAAATATTAAAAAAAATTGATCTGAATTTGCATTTGCTGAAATAAATGACCTTTTCAATTCTACTCCAGTTTAGTGAGATGAATACTATTTTTACTCACAGGTAAATTTTCCTTAAGCGCGCTCTCCTTTTCAAGTCGTTTCTTTTCTTTTTTGCGCTGGGACAAAAATACAGACGTGTGTGTTGAGCAGCGGTTAAGTGACAATAAGACATTATAGGCTCAGCGGTTATCATACAAGATCACCTTTTTTTTACGTTTGTTCCTTTCAGTTTTTTCTTTACGCCGATCCTCCTCTTCTATCAATTCCTTAGCAATTTTATCTGCTTCCTGGGGAGAACATGTAGAGCAAACGTTACAAATTCATCTCCCATAAAAAAACTTGACATTTCTAAAGAAATTTATACCCAATACAGTATTACAAATGTCAAAGTTCAACTGCATAAGTCATATTTTCCGTTCCGTCACCAACAGAAGGGACATCATTCAGATAAGTATTGATTTCACTTCCCAATAAGTGGAACTGGGCGCGTTACCTCGTCTGTGAGCTGCTTTATCTGAGGATGTGGTTCCAAAGGTTTACTCGCAGCATAAGGTGGATGATAATCATCATCGTTGTCATCACAATAATCATCATCATCATCTGAATATATAAGATCATCCTCTAAGACCTGAGCAAACTGTAAGGCTGCTGAAAGTTAAACAGAACAAACAGATTTAAATACATACCATAGGATCAATTAAGTTTTCATCTGTTTCATGGAAATGTCTCAAAAGTCCGTTGCATCTACATTTCTTGAAAAAAAAAAAGATTTTTACGATTTGAAGAATTCTGAAGTTTTTTTGTATTTTTTAAACAAAATGGGAACAATTGTCTTTCACTGCCATGTAAAATATTTTCCCAGAATGCAACTCTTTGGAGTGTCCTACTTCAGTAGCTGCATTTACATAACAAATGTGCTCAAAACGTTGTTGACATTTCGCCAATTCCGCAATTGTGGTGTTTAATAAGAAGCGCAATTAAGATCACACATGAATATGTTTGTTCACGCCATCATTAAAAAACATGCCGCACCAACATCCTCCAACTACTTCCTGTCGTCTTCTTCATGGTTTGCGCCAGTGGCGATATCCTGTAGTTGATCATGTGATTTGTGTGATGCAAAACAGTGTTTCCATTTTAGTTATGCAACAAAAAAAAACCCCAAAAAGGATAATTTTGGCCAATTTCAATACCAACACAAGCGCGTTTTCAGTGAGCAAATTTATTTTGAAAATGTCAAATTCTGCAATTTGAACAGTCAATGGAAATGCAGCTAATGTGAGAGTTCCCTGCATATTTTTCACTTCAAATTTTAAAACATCCTTTGAAGTCTAAACACAAAATGATCTCCACAGTAGTTGGCTTTTAAGTATGGAATATGGAAAACCACAGGACGTAAGGAAAAGACATTCTAAATGAATTTCCAGAAATCTTTTTTACCCTTGTTCCATACTTCTCCAGAGTAGTAATGTACTTGTATCAAAATCCATATTTTTTTGGGACTGTGTGAGAATCCTGTTTGACGTCACAGGACCAACAACAACAACAACATGCTTCTTTCAGTCAGAATGAGTATGAACGTTAAAGCTGATGTAAATAAGTGATTAAAGAAGACTTGTGTGAAATGCCTAAATCAGAAAACGCCTTACAGAGGAAGGGTTGAGCCAATGCTTCTAGTATGGAAGTCCTGCGCCCACTCATTAAATCCACTATTGATTCCTTAAAAGAAGACAAGATCAGCAAATTAGGACCATTTACAGCCATGATGGTTAAAAAATAAATAACAAGACACGGGGAAGAAATAGAATAAACTTCTTAACAAAAAGAAATCCTGATACTTTGGAAACAAGTTAGATTTCAATAAGTGCAGGACACAAGATAAATGATGATACAGCTGAATATCCTGCTGCATTCACCCCAAAGCTAAGAAATGACTCAAACTCCTTACTTTGTTCAGTCCAGGTAAAACAATCCAGTTCGATTCATCAGTAGTTTAGATTTTACCTCCAAATGTTGCTGCACACTGCCGGTCAGCGACTTGTGTGTGTCTAAATCGCTTGAAACGAATCCAAATGGGGCTGTTTGGAATTCAAAAAGATTCCGCTCTACTAACTAATCGGCTAAAAATCCAGCTGTTGGACTTGAGCTATCCTCTAAACAGCAGAGCTGATAAGAAGTTACATTTATCTGTCAAAAGCAAGTTTACATAAAAACTACTGAATTTAGTTCATTTTTATTTTACATTTCTTGCACAGATGCATGTATAAACACATATTTTAATCAATCACTGTTTACTTAAAAGAAAAAAAAAGACAATACTTTAAGATCCGCCTTATCCTGAACAATACCCATTTCTATTTTTCAACAAGGTCTGACAGATTGATCGTTACCAAACATTTGAAATACAAAAAAGGGAAGTCAAACAGCTATGCTATAGCTGCACAATAATTCTGTGTTTTTTCTGTCGATTACATGAAAACAAACTAATTTTTAATCTTTGGTAGTCCAGCTGAAGCATCTTAAATCAAACTGTAGGAATATCACACAAGTTCCGAATTCAACAAAAACATCTTTTTACTTAATATCAGTTCACAAAATAATCTGTGATCAACAATGACATTTCTCATGCTGAGCTGACATATGAACCTAGGAGCTTATTCGAATCTGTTCAGGTAAGAATCCGTCTGCCTCTTATGGAGTTTTTATGAAGTTTAATTTGACGCGATGCCAACATGTCACCTGGTTTTTTTTTTTTTAAAGAGTTGGGCTGCAGGTTTAGAAAGACAGCAACACTGTATTAAAAGTCTCGACTTATACTCACGTGGGTGCGCATTAGTCTCGAATCTTGGCGAATTCTGGGCACTGAAGGCCCACCTGGCAGGTGAGGAAAAATGATGACGTAAAAGTTCATACAAGATGAAGAAAAAAACATTACACACCGGACCAACACACGTTCACACATATATAAATATATATGCATATAACAGCTTCGACTAAAGTCGCGACTCGCACAGACAGAACGGGAGCGGACCCGTTTTTGCTGAACTTAAAAGTCTCCGTTATAACCACAGTAGCTGGTAAGCTAACAAGCTGACCCGGTTCCAATTCCTGGTAAATGAAACTCAAGATATGATGAAACAAACTGCTGCATTCTCACCCCGATCTAGCTCTTTCTTTTTTGGCATGGTTTCCGTTTATTTCCAGTATCTCCGGTCCAGTATTTGTCTCTATGTCACACCAATGGTCGGCAGGTTTCGTGCTGCTGAGTTGTTGTGGCCTCTGTGAAGTTTTGGCTCGTGTACAGTGGTGAGAAGCCTTCAGCGTCCTGCTCCTCGCCTTCTTCTTCTTCTTTTTTTTCCCCTCTTCTTCTTCTTTGATGAAAACGTACTCAAACGCTATTACTGCCGAACGACACTGCCATCTTCTGGAAGAGAACGCATATTCTTCAATAAAAATCTTCAGAGAATGTTGGATAAATGTTTTTACAGCTACATTGGTTATATGTTGTAGTTCACATAAAAACAGTCTCTGTAACAGAAATACTGCCTATTTTTACTCTCATGTCGACACATATTTAACCCATTTTACTCGATATTTAAAGTCCTATCTGATGAGTATTATGCTTTTTCAATGGTTTATGAAAGTTTTATCAAAATAAATAACTAATTTGCATTCTATTACGTCACATTAAAATAATTACACAATGTATGTCTTGGGCAGCAGAAAAAAATTCTTTTGAGAATGAGAATTTTAGTCTATTTTTGGTATTTTTAGTATTTTAATAGCATCATTTTGGGTAAAGAGGCATTTGTCTATGAAGAACCTTGTAATATTTACAATATAATTATTACATTTGGGGTAGTTATCCTCCATAAGTTGCCCTGCTGACAAAGGTAAATCTACATGTTATCTAGAGCAACGTGATGATCTCACTTTTTTCCTGCCATTCAAATATTCTACTTCCGGGGTATTTTTTGACCGTTCCTAGCAACGCTCCTAGGTAACGACGTGGCGGAAGCGCGCTCAGCGTGGCGGACTGTCATCATCAACCAGAACCAAAACAACAACACGGAACCAGAACAGGTAATTTATGCGACTTCTTCCTTAACCACGCGAAATAAAGTTATTACTGTACGGTTCTTTGATGCGTCTTTGTTTTTACCAGTTTTTACCGGAAGTGCAAGTTAACGGTTACCGAGCTAGCTGCTGCTAGGCGTTGAGCTAACTGGCATACTAATGTTAACGGAGCTAACATGTTCACTCAGCTCACTCTCTTTGAATATGAGGAACCTTGGATAAGCCATTGCGTGTTAATTTATATTTACAGAAGCTTAAGTAGCCAGTAGTGTCTAAAGCTTTGCTTTAACGATTTCAGATACTCTAGCTGTACTACAACACATCTTTCAGTTGTTATGTTAACTCAGACTCAAGTCGGCTCATGTTAAAGAAGCTATGCAGTGGTGATTTTTATGGCCTAGATTTTTATGACAAATGTACACAGACTGTAAAACAAAATTTCTGGAATTTTTATTAAATTTTTTTAAGTGGACTAAAAAAAAACAAAAAAAAAAAAACCAACTGCAAATTCTTTCCTGTGTGTATATGGGTTGATAACATCACAAGAGGCACAAGAAGTGGAGCAGATCAACAGGGTCAGTAAATATGTTGCAGCTTTTGTTAGACTCCACCAGAGGTTTTAAAGCTCACCAGTTGCCATTGAGTTTGAAGGAGTTCAACCTTTAACTGTTTGGCTGTTTGAAGATCATTTGATGACCGGTGAAATAAAACTTATCTTGTGTCTGTTTTAGATGGCGACGACTCCTTCTCATCTACTAGGAGATGAAGATGCAATTGGCCCTGACGGACAAACAGGCCCATCGGCAGCCCGAAGTCAAAGTATTGTCCAACACGATCAGAGACCGCTTAAAATAAAAACAGATGTTCGGGAGCTTCAACTGTCACAGCAAAAAGTTTTCCAGCTAGGTATATTTCCTACATATAACAAAATAACATAAACGAGAAAATAAAACAGGTTAAGGATTGATTTAATTAATTGGTGCTGTATTGATTTTTTTTTAAATAAACTGGTATAACAATATTCTCTAGCCAAGAAGAACTTTGTTCTGACAGTAGTGCTTCATATTTATGTATAAGTGTTTAGATATTCCTGCCTCTGATTCAAATGTGTAACTTCAAAAACGTGTATTTCGTCAGAATTCCAGGACAGTCAACTGTCTCCTGCTCTGTCTCTGCTGCCTCTAATCTCAGGACCTGAGCACAGCGCCACTGAATACACTTTCTTCCAGCAAGATGATCCAGAATTTGCTCCCCTAAGGTAAGAAACACTGAGTTAATAGAATAGCCTTTATTATCCAGCAAAGGGGAAAGTCAGGTGCAACAGCAGCGTAGGATAAAAAAAAGTTCTCACAAAGGAAATAAAAAAATAATACATAAAAAAGAGATTAAGAAAATAACAAATAGTAATAGTAATCATATACTGTACAAAACTATTACAGAAAATGCTGTTCAGTTCATGAGTGTTGTTCTGCAGGTGCACCTTTCTACAAAAAAGTCACTTGAAAGATGCATTTCTCACATTTTGTTACAGGAAACCCACAAAACTCAATGCATTTTATTGGTATTTTATGTAATAGACCAACACAGTGTCACATCATTGTCAAATGGATTCTGTCCTCTTTAACTTTAACACCCCTAAATAAATTCTACTTCAGTAAAAGACATTCATACCTAAGAGCTCACCTAAATAGTAAGTAAGTAGTAATAACACTACCAGGTAGCGTCAAGATTATTGAATGAAAAGCGTCGATATTATTGTTTATCGCAAGAATTTATGGAACAATTTGTTGTTCAGCAAAATTTGCTATCGTAACTGAAAGACGTGGTTGTAACTATGGGTGCACCAACTAGTTTTCTAGGTGATTACCCATCTTTAAAAAGCCAGAAAATTACTATATTAGTTAGGATCAATTTTCTATTTATATTTTATTTGTCTGAAAAGTTGATAAGTATGGAGATAAAGATGCTAAGTTGACAACAGCGGAACTTTTGTTAACTGCAGACGTGACCTGGTGGGTCGGTCAGTCAGTCCTCTATTACGCCAGAGCAAAAGAGGACAGCAATGATTTTCTGATCTTTGCTGAGGTCGATAAGATTGGTGGATATAATTGGTTTCATATGTATCGGCCGATTGCCGATTTCCCAGAATTAAGAATATTGGGCCGATTTATTGGCTGGTTAATGCGTGTCCTTAGTTGTAACATGACAAAATATTGAAAAAGGTTCAAGGTGACTAGATACTTTAACAAGGCATGGTGACACTTGTACTGCTAGTGGAATGATAATCATATATATTCTTCTCGCCAGGGCATTTCCTGATGTTTCTATGGTATCAGAGAGGTTCCGTTTTCCTATCCATGTCAGGACCAGCCATTCCTCTGAGCAGAGCTCACTTTCCCAGCATCCTTTGGCTCAGACAACCCTCCTTTCTGATGAAGAAGCAAGTAGCAATTCCTCCCCATCTCAGCGTGACACACAAAGAAACTTATCAAGAGGAGATAGCAAAGAGACTAATTTGAAAACACTGTACGACTTGACAGACAGGAATAAAGTTGGAATTCATAAAGATGAAAATATCTTTCTGAACAAAGACATTCCTATGCAGGATCCTCAAGCTGACCATAGAGAGGTTGGCATGCAAAGCAGCAGCTCTGTTTCCTCTGAATCCCTGACCTCTATGAGAAGCACTGGCTTTTGTCCAGATCAGCCACAACACACAGAAGCTTTCAAAGACAACATGTTTGAAAGACAAGGTCCACCAGGTGAAGCCGGTCCTTCCCAACAGCAGAGAAGGCACAAAGAAATCAGTAACATCACTACTGGTTCCCGCTCGACTCAGCCCGATGATAGCAGCGAAGAGTTGCACAAAGAACTGCTGTCTGAGGTGCAGAAACTCAGCAACTTTGAGGCTCGCGAGCAACGAGGGGGTCAGACACCAACTCATGAGCTGATCACACCTTCTCTCAAAGAATCACAAGGCAAACCTAGGGGGAAGCCATTTTCGGCAGGCTCAGAATGGATTCACAGAGACAGAGACCTATGGTCTTTACAGAACCAAACAGGAAGTGATGGCTCCTACCTTGGCTTCCTCCCACAGTCTCAATCTACACCAGGCGTTTTCTTTGCACCACTGAAATTTGATGTCAAGACTAAACTTGCACATCTTTCAGCCATAGAATCTAACATAGATACCTTGTACCCATCAATCACGGGTGCACAATCAGCTGATGCCAGTCTTCCAGACACAGAAGATCCTCTGGAGGCCTCTCACAAAGTTCATTCCCTCCCAAGTCTCAACTATCTGCAGAAAGTTGACACCTGGAAGACAAAAGAAAGCTCAGAGAGGACCCCATCATTAGAAGGCCTGGCATTGCACAGACTTTCAGGAGCTCCTCCTAAAACAGGTGACGGGCCAGGACCCAACACCTTTATCCAGCAGCCTTCCACCAACCAGGATGCCACGCAGATCTCTTCCTCTACACCTTCAGGAGGTTCTTCTCCTAGACGAGGAGAGGCTGTAGGCGGAGCTCCCGGTGACTTAGAAAATAAGGGATCTGCTACGCAACCTTCTGCCTGTCCCTTTGGCAGATCACAGTCCCCCTCGTCACTTGGTACAGTTGTCATGGTCGCTGACAAGCACCAGCTGACCAACACTGTTCCAGAAAATAAGACAACTCAGGGCCTGAAGGACACTCTTCCTTCACCCAGTACCGCCACTCAACCCTCACGTTTTGAGAGCCTCGGTCACTTCAGTGACGCCTCCGAACTCTCAAGTTCCCAAGATAGCTACACGGAAATCAAAGTCGGACCTTCTGTCGGAACCTCTTCTGTTGTCAGCTTGGAGCTTGATAATTATGCCCCCTACTGGACTTTTAAACATTCAGCAACACCTCCTCCAGGGTCTAAAGAGCTCAACATTGACGAACGAATTCCAGTAAGTTGCTCTGATTTTTATTTATTTCTTTGTTTGAAGTCATTGTATTTCATGTAACAGATTATCCAGTTGAATATTTATGTGAACATTGTTGTCTGATAAGTCCTCTCTCGTTTTTCTGTTAGTTGTACCTTCAAAACCTTGGTATCGACCAAACGCCGTCAAAAATCCTGACTCCGTTTGCACCTAGAGGGCCCATCAGAGAACCAGAGTTCTCTCCCACTGATCTCTCCACTAGTAAAGGATCTTCTGGGACTCCTTCGAAGAGCACCCAACCATCAGAGAGTAACAAACCTTACAATGACCTTCTCTGTATGATATGCAACGTGATGGAAAAGCTT